TCAAAATGTTTAATCAGTAAAATATTTTCATGATTCTCAGGTTTATTCATCATGTCATTCAATCTGTTGTCTGTTATCCTAAAAGAAAATCAACTCACTCGTCCTAATTACATTAATTGGAAAAGGAACTTAGACATAGTGCTGACTGCTGAAAACTATAAGTATGTGCTAACTGAGGCTTGTCCTGATGTATCGGCTGATAATGCCCCAGATGAGGAGAAACAAGAGTATGCTCGGTGGAAGAAGGCTGATGAGATGGCGAAGTGTTACATTCTGGCTTCTATGTCAAATGTCCTTCAACATCAGCATCAGTCAATGGCCACTGCTGCAGATATGCTTCTTAACCTCAAGGAACTGTTTGGGCATCAGTAGAGGGCTCCAAGACAAGAGGATTTAAGTGCTCTGATGAACACGCGCATGGCAGAGGGTACACCCGTAAGGGAGCATGCTCTAAAGGTCATGGCGCAGCTCAATGAGCTAGAGGTTCTTGGAGGATTTATTGACGGGGAAACCCAAGTTGATATCATGCTCCAATCTCTGCCGAAGAGTTTTGATCAGTTCCGGTTGAACTATAACATGCACAAGATGCATATGGCTCTTCCAGAACTGTTGTCAGAACTCCAGTCGGCTGAGGCCTTGTTCACTCAGAAACCAGTTGTGGTGGTTGCCGAGCAAGCTGGACCTTCCAGGACTCACAAGGGCAGGAAGAGGAAGAAGGCTGCAGGAAAGGCAATGGCACAGAGCACCAAGTTAGTGCCTCAGCAGGCTGTGGCAAAGAAGCCGAAAGGTAGATGCCACAAGTGCAATAAGTCAGGGCACTGAAAGGTCGATTGTCCTCTCCTCAAGAAGGAAGGTAACTCTCATACTTTTGTCACAGAAACATGTTTAGCGGTTGTATCTACCAGTACCTGGTGTGTAGATACTGGAGCCACTGATCATGTCTGCAATTCTTTGCAGGGGTTCCAGGAAACCAGGCGGCTTAGGGATGGAGAGATTACAGTCTACATGGCCAATGCTACGAAAGTAGCAACAGTTGCAGTGGGAGTAGTTACTTTAGTATTTGATGCTAGTATTTTGGTTTTGAACGATTGTCTTTTTGTTCCAAGTTTTAGTAAGAATTTAATTTCAATTTCTAAACTCGTTTTGAATGGTTATTCAGTTTCGTTTGATAACACAGTTGTTATTCGTTATGGTAATCATTTGATTTGTTCTGGTTCAATTGTTGGCAATCTATATTTTTTGAAACCAAAGTCTCCCACACTGCAACAAAATGAATCGAATAATGTCTCGACTAAAACTAATAAGAGAAAAGAGTCTTCGATGAATCATGCATATCTTTGGCACCTTAGGCTTGGGCACATCAACTTTAGGAGGATTCAAAGGTTGGTATCTACTGGGCATCTTGGTCTAGTAGAAGATCATTACTAGACTTGCGAGTCCTGTCTAGAAGGTAAGATGACCAAGAGGCCATTTTCGGCAAAGGGGAGAAGGAGCCAAGA